GACAGCACGGTGATGATGAGGATGATGATGATGATGAAGCAGAAGAAGACTATGCTGATGATGCAGGGCATGATGATTATGATGGTGATTGTAATGGTGATGCGGATGATGCTGCTGATGATGATGATGATGATGGTGATGCTGATGCTGATGCTGATGATTGATGATTAGTATGTTCATTATTCGTATCAGTATTATAGTGACGTCGATGCGGACATGCGGTAAGCTGGAGGGAGGAAGTGGGGGAGGAGGGAAGGAGGAATGAAAGGAAACGCCTGGCGCTGCTGATTCAAACGATGACCCAATTCAACACAGGATGGTTGGGAGCAAAGAGATGCATGGTGCGTGCGCGCAGCCTTTCTCTCAGCCCGAGCGAAGAGCCTCCAGGAGGTCCAAAGAGGACGACGAATCGCTGGCAGCGCCGCCGTTGCCCTGAGACTTGGCTTCGTAGAACAAGCTCGACCTGAGGCCTGGGCCCCATCTTTGAGTTGCTGCTGTCGAACGGGATCGATCTGTGAGGGCCCTTGGGCCCGAAGCGACGACAAATCGCGCGCTGCGAGCGAAAATGCCACGCCAGGGTCCCAAGGGCCGCTGCCTCCACTGGCCCCTCTCCGGCTCGCTCGCTCGCTCGCTCCTCCCCCCCCCAGGAGCTCGAGAGACAGAATCGGGGCTCTGCGGAGCAGCAGCCCGAGGAACCCCGCGCAGAGGCGGCGCCGCCGTGCTTTTACCGACGGCGACGACGACGGCGACGACGGCGACGACGCCGCCGTCGCCGACGACGACGACGATGACGACGACGCCGACAACGCCGACGCCGCCGCCGACGCCGCCGTGCTGTTGCCGCCGACCCCCTCGCGACTTGGAAGAATCAATCACGCCTTGTGGGGTCTGGGTTGTCGACGTCGTTTTGCCCAACCATCCTGTGGTGATGGGTCCCCGTTTTGAAGAGACAGCGCCAGGCGTTTCTTCCTTCTGCTCCTCCTCCCTCTTCCCATCACCATCATCAACACCATTGCCGCCATCACCACCCATTTTGGCACACCCCTCACACGATTCGTGACACCACAGGGAGCTCCGCCTAAGGCTTTAGTGGCGACGCTCCCATGCGTCCCCGCCACCCATTTTGGCACACCCCTCACACAGTTCGTGGGCCCATAGGGAGCTCCACCGAATTCCCCAGTGGCGACGTTTCCATGCGTCCCCGCCATCCATTTTAGCACACCCCTCACACGGTTCGTGGGCCCATAGGGAGCTCAACCGAAGGCCCCAGTGGCGACGTTCCCATGCGACCCGGCCACCCATTTTCGGCACACTCACCGCACACGGTTCGTGGCCCCATAGGGAGCTCCACCTGAGGCTCCAGTGGCGACGTTTCCATGCGTCCCCAGAACCCATTTTGCCACACCCCTTACACGGTTCGTGGTCCCATAGGGAGCTCCACCTGAGGCCCCAGCGGCGACGTTCCCATGCGTCCTTGCCACTCATTTCGGCACACCCCTCACACGGCTCGTGGCCCAAGTGGGAGTTCCACCTAGTTAAGGTTCCAGCAGCGACGACCCCACGCGTGCCAGCCACCCATGTTGACGCACTTCTCACACGGTTCGTGGCCCTATAGGGAGCTCCACCTAAGGCCCCAGTGGCGACGTTCCCATGCGCCCCCGCCATGCATGTCGCACACCCCTCACACGGCTCGTGGCCCCACAGGGAGCTCCATTTGAGGCCCCAGCGGCGACGTTCCCATGCGTCCCCGCCACCCATTTTCGGCACGCCCCCCACACGGTCCGTGGCCCTATGGGGAGCGCCACCGAAGACGATGTCCACAATTGCTGCAACACCACACACGAAACCGAAGCAAACACAGGGAATGGACGTCCGAGCGATGGCCAGGACCACGGAAGAGTCCCACGACAGGGACGTGGAGCCCGAGGCCGCCCGTTGCTGGCAGCCGCTTCGCCCTGAGGCTTCCCCGCAACATGCTCTGCACGGTCGGGGCCCTGAAGAAGGAACCCTCTTCTTCCTCCTCTTCTTCCTCCTCTTCTTCTTCCTCCTTCTCCTCCTTCTCCTCCTCCTCCTCCTTCTCCCCCTTCTCCTCCTCTTCCTCCTCCTCCTCCTGCTCCTGCTCCTCCTCATCCTCCTCCTTCTCCTCCTCCTGCTCCTCCTCCTCCTCCGCCTCCTCCTCCTCCTCCTACTCCTCCTCCTCCTCCTCCTCCTCCCCTTCGTCTTCCTCCCCCTCCTCGTCGTCGTTCTCCTTCTTCTCCGCCGCAGACGGCACCTATACGCCACAGGCGCCCTGCACAAGATTCGAACGGGAGGTTTTGGGTCGAATCAGGACGGGAGGTTTTGGGCCGGTTTCGGCCTCTTGAGGCCTGTACCGGGCCCTGGGGACCGTCAAAGAACAGTTCAGCACGACAAATTGGTCATGGGGAGATTGTCGGGACTTGGGGGGGGGCTCTCCTTCTCCTCCTCCTCCTGGTCCTCCTCCTCCTCCTCCTCCTCCTTC